GATAGTGATACGGGACGGGAGTGTTATTGGCGGGTACGGAAGTGATAGGAGCTAAAAGTGACAAGGTAACATGGGAAAATCCGCTTCACCGCTCACAACAACAATGCGATCGATATGACTCAAGCATAACTCCTCCAACACAACTCATTCCTCACCATCATCTCAGTACCGGAATCATGTACGACCACTAAGTTAGCTCTATTCCAAATGCATGGGGTTTGTTTACAGAGATGTTATGAACAGCATCAATTCACTTAATCACTCTTACCACAATTATCTTCCATCAACAACCTTAGTGAGGGCCATTTAACGCGTTCCACTGCTGAATGCGGGAGTGCATTCCAAAGCAAGACGCTTTAAGGCGACAGAATGCATGAATCATAGGCTGCTTCAGCAGCTAACCTAACAGGCTCCATTATTCCCGTGTAGGTTATGAACGTACCAGTCGGATCGCTGGCTAAGGCTGGCTCCCCTCCTTCTGTGATGCGGGGGGGGGGGGGCGCTGCTGCTGCTTCTGCGTCTTGACGGAACGAGCGCTGCTTTTCAGTTCTTGGCTGATGCAGAAGATTCCTTTGAACAGTGTGGTTGGTCAACGATCCTTAACTTAGCACGCGGCAAATCCGCATGGCCCGGCGAAGCCGGGCCATGTCACAGAAGGAGGAGCGCCCGGCGACAGCTGGGCGATCCGACTGGTACTCCATATCATAGGGATGGAGAGGGCGTGGTTGCACACTTCATGCAAACCTTCTCATCGAACATGGCAGGGATCGTTCTCGGAGTGAGTGTGCAGTTCGTTTCTCCATGCAAATTGCACACTCACCTCCGGAGGTCCTGGTCCCAGCCACAAGCGAGGTGGATGGGTCCGCAGCGCAGCAGCATGCCATTTTCAACAGTCAAAAGCGCCCGCGAACGGGGCTGGAGGGTAGTGGTACCCGGATGCGCTGCAGCCGGTTACACCCCCAGCCACGGCTGAACGCGCTGCTTGTCTGTGCCCTTTCATTCCCGGTGGTTCTCAACCAGTGCGCGTTCGCTGCAGGAGCATGCATCGACACAAGGGATGCAGCTCAAAGACATTTCCCGCGCTCAAGTGAACCGTAGGCGTCCTTCCTTATGCAATAATCTGGCTGAGAGCCTATGCGGTTATACCACTTTCGTGGCTTCACAGTTAGTAACGAAGGCGCTGTGGCTCTCATATGTGGTAGTTGTGACGGCTATTTGGTTGTCCCACTCACGGTATGGCAAGAACTATCCTCGCTGATGAGCCTACACTTTGGCTTTGTGCCATGGTTTAGAATGGGTCACAGAGGCGTTGCAAAGCTTCCCTTGCCGTGTCTTCCCCAGGACTTGTGCTGTAAGCAAGAGCACAGAGAAGAAACACACCCAACTCCGGTATGGTAGGGGTGGAGGTGAATATGTGGGCGGAGATTGCCGAGAGCCTTGACACTCTATGAAACGACAGTCTGCATAAATAGTAGCAAAGATAAGAAAACAAGTCTGTTTCACAACAACCAAATATTTATTTCGTCATCAGTCAACTGAATTTTAATGTTAATTTACAATTCGACCAATTTATTCGCATCAAAAGCTATCTCATAGGATAAGGACCACAGGGTTGCGGGTGCAGATGCGGGCCACAAGGACCATGTGGATGATTATGGAAAGGTTGCGGTTGTGCAGCTGCCTGATTCGGAAAAGCAGGCTGTCGGGCGGGAGGCCCATTGGGGAACGGCCCATTGGGGAACGGGCCACCAATTGGAGCCATTTGAGGAGCCATGGGCTTATGAGGACATGGCGGTTGCGGAGGGGGACAAACTGGTTTAAAATCTGCAGGCCTTTGGTTGAATTGTGGTGGTCTAGGTTGCGGCGAAGGCTGAATACGAGCAGGCTTAGGAAACTGTTGTTGAGGAGGAGCCATTGGTCCAGGGGCATATACTGATCTAGGAGCAGGATTCGGAGCTATTATAGGTCCAGGTGCTGGGGGAAATAGAGGGGGAGCTTCCCTAGGGAACGGTTGCGGTAGGGCAATCATTGGCTTGGGCTTGTTCGGCCTCGGAACAGATGCTGGTCGGTGTTGATGTTTCACCGATTTGTGATGGTGACGAGGTGTATGATGTGAACGAGCTATTGGTTTTGGCAGTGCTTGATGTGGACACACACAAGGAGGAGCCATACCAGGGGGTTGTATTCTGGGTGGCGGCCCTCCAGGAGCACCAGGATATTGGAAATAGTCGTCCTTGGGCAACATGAACGCTGGCACTGAAAACATTGAGGACTGAACTGCATATTGCGATATTCCAAACACTTCTCGGACCACAAACTCACCTCCTTTCACCCCTTGATCGCCACACGCAACTGTCCTGCTTTCACTAGTGCTGCTATCACTGCTAGTCGTCTCACGTGCACAGTTACATTGACTACACGTCTAAGAATGAGCTATGTTTCTCTACTGTTTGAAAACTCCAAGTTACAGTAACATGTTACCGTATTCTTTGTCGATTCACTCTCTTCTGCCTCGTCTGAAAAGGAAACATGCAAACTGTTACTGGCAAAACCCTCAAATGCACGGTCTAGATGATGTACCACTTTGGCAAGTCGGAAGGACGCTATGTGTTCGTAATGGAGACGATGGTACGCCCACTGGTGGAAGCCA